ACTACGCCTGGCTAATTTTTGTATTTTTGTAGAGACGGAGTTTCACCATGTTGCCCACACTGGTCTTGAACTCCTGAACTCAAGTGATCCTCCCACCTCGGCCTCCCAAAGTGCTGGGATTACAGACGTGAGCCACCACACCTGACCTGTTTGTGTTGGTTTAGGCCACTAAGTGTGTGGTAATTTGTTACAGCAGCCATAGAAAACGAATACAGAGGGCATGGGGAATGAAGCACCAGCACTTAAATCTGCCTGGCACTGACATCTGGCACTTCTACTCATATTTCATTGGCCAGAGCAAGCCACATGGACATGCCTAATTTCATAGTACCACAGAAATCTGATACTCACATACCCCCAGGCTTAGAGGGAAACTGAATTTTGGTGAATATAATAATGTCTATTATACCTTGCTACCTGCAGTGCATGCTTATATTTTCTATTCCATTCCATTTCATTAAAAAAAAAAATCTCTTAAGTCGGTTATTTATTTATTTATTTATTTATTTATTTTTGAGACGGAGTCTTGCTCTGTTGCCTAGGCTGGAGTGCAGTGGCACCATCTCAGCTCACTGCAACCTCTGCCTCCCTGGTTCAAGCAATTCTTCTGCCTCAGCCTCCCGAGTAGCTGGGACTACAGACGCATGACACCATGCCTGGCTAATTTTTGTATTTTTAGTAGAGACGGAGTGTCACTATGTTGACCAGGCTGGTCTTGAACTCCTGACCTCAAGTGATCCTCCCACCTCCACCTCCCAAAGTGCTGGGATTACAGGCATGAGCCACCATGCCCAGCCATAAGTTGGTTTTATTATCAACTAGTATGTTGTGATCCCCTGTTCGGAAAACATTACAGACCCTCTTCTGCCCAGGCCTCCTGGACCATATGACACACCTATATATAGCTGATTGGCCCAGGTGTGGAACACATGACCAATGCTGACCAATCAGATTCCTCTCCTGGGAATTTGGAAGTGGGCCATTCAACCAGTTAGCGGTGGGAAGCTGAGTGAGAAGCAGAGTGGAAACAGTGTCAGAGTGGGAGTCACATCCAAGCCAAAAGGATGGAGGAGGAGAAAAGCCTTGAGTAAGTAGAGACAGCTGGTCCACAGAGGCAATGGGGCAGCCGCCCAGAAAGCAGTGCAACTGGGGGAACATGCAGCCCCAGGAGGAGAGGTGCAGAGAGAGTGAGACTGCCTGAGATTCAGATGGCTTCCCAGGTCCTGCGCTAGCCACCATGCATCCTGCCTACATCCCATGAGAGTTTTGCCTTCTTATAACATGCCCTCCCCTTTTCTTGAGCTACCCTGGGTGGTGGGGTCGGGTGCGGTGGGGGCTGGTTGTGTTCCTCGTCTCCACTGAGGCTTAATCAGCTGGAACACTGCCCGTATGTCTCTTATAGGCACCCAGCTCTGTGAATCAGGCCGTGGGGCATAGATGGGGCTGGGGGCGAGACAGACCCTGCCTCTGGCATCCTGGAAATTTAGCTTTGACCAGTCTTGGACGTGTGTGCATGCTCTTCAAAGTTGACAGACAGAGCCATCTGTGTGACACTGCATAGATGGAGGTCCCAGGAAACGAAAAATCCTCACAGGGGCCTCTTTTCTGATAGTGTTAGGGTCAGGAAGTCAGAGGAGTTTTATCACAGAGGGCTTGACAGTGTCACGGAGTGGAAAGGACATGGGCTCTGGAGACAGGCAGACCATGCTTCACCTTGGTGAGCCTCAATTTCCTCATCTCTGAAATGAGATTGTAAGGATCAGCAGTATTCTAGGAAAAATACCTAAAGTCACGTCTAGAGCATGGCATGCTCTTGGGGAATGTGGTGGCTGCTGCTGTCATTTGGGGAAGCCATCAGAGTCCTGCTTCCTGAAGGAGTGGTCCTGGTGCTGACGAGGTTAGCAGCAGGTCATTCCCCACTGCTGGCCACACTTCCTACCATGGTCACACTCACTCTGCCCCTTGCCCTTCTCCTCTCTCCTCTCCTCATTTTCCCTCTTTATTGTTATTCCCAGTGTTGTTGAAAACACCCGGTTTAGGAAAACAGCCGGGTTAGATATGAAGCACCCAGCTTCTGGAGGCAGGCAGACAGAATTGGGTCTGAATCCTGACTGAGCCCCTGGCTTGCTGTGTGTTCTTGCGGAAATTACTGCATCTCTCTGAGCCTTGAGCTAATTACCTGTAAAATGAGGATGATAATCCCCATTTCACAGAGCTATTATGAGAAATAATTAGCCACTCAACAAAGTTCTGTCTTCCCTCCCTCCCTTCGTGAAGTTGCCCCTTCCGGCCTGACCAGGGTGTCTCGCTCCTTCCAACAGTCCCTGGAATGGTCTTCCCTGACTCAGTTGTTAGTGACCTCAGGCACTGTGGCCTCTCTTTCCCTCAGACCATGGACTCCCAGGGCTTCTGGAAGCAGGTAGAGTCCCTTGTGGCCGGTGCCACTTCTCTGGTCTTCTCTGCAGGTCCAGCCCCACCTTGGGAGCTGCTGCTTCAAACCGTGTGATCTGTATTTTTCCTCACTTTAGCAATTATCACACTCCAGCTGACTGTGGCATCTTCACACTCTGAACACTAATAAATATTTATGAGAAGGAAGCTGGATGCGGTGACTCACGCCTGTAATCCCAGCATTTTGGGAGGCTGGAAGGGGCAGATCACTTGAGGTCAGGAGTTTGAGACCAGCCTGACCAACATGGTGAAACCCCGTCTCTATTAAAAACACAAAAATTAGCCTGGCCTGGTGGTGCACGCCTGTAATCCTAGCTACAAGGGAGGCTGAGGCACGAGAATCACTTGAACCAGGGGGATGGAGGTTGCAGTAAGCTGAGATCACGCCACTGCACTCTAGCCTGGGCAACAGAGCGAGACTCCATCTCAAAAAAATAAGAATGAATAAATAAATAAATACATATTTATGAGGAGGAGAAAAGCCCAGTCTCCCAGGGGAGGTGGGGTGGGATGTGCCAGGCTTCTTAGCAAGCCATGCTCACACCCATCAGTGGTTCCTGCCAGCCCAGAAGTGAGAGGTGGGGGTGGGCAGGGCCAGGGCTGTGAAGGCAGCGCAGAGCCACCACCCACTCGCCATCTCTTCCGGAAGGAGGCAGGAGTGGCTGTCCCTGTGCCTTGGCGGGCCTCACTGTCCTGCCCACCCTGTTGCCTGCTGGGCCCTGTGCTCCTGGGGGAGGACTGGGTGGCAGGAAGCCCTTTCAGCCTCATGTGTGCCTACCCTACCCCTCTGTCCATGGCTGTTTTAGGCTCTCTTATTTCATCTTTTATTTTCACCCGTCCAGGGTCTGTGTCCCTATCCTCCTCTCTCTTCCCCAACCCCCTCTCTTATCTCAGGGTCTCTGTCTCTATCTTTCAATTTTCTTCTCTCCCTCCCAACAATTACTTTGAGAGATCCTGGAGCTAGCTGTTGGTGGCTAGGGAAGGGGGTCTCAGGCTCCAAGACCCAGCTTGTGGGAGAGGGCAGGAGGAGATATGGAAGGCAAATGAGTTCCACTTTTTGGGAGTCATGGACTACATCTGGACCTGATTCCTTGTCCAGCACTGCTGGGTTACCATGGCTTATTCTCTGCCTTTCCTGGGCTTCAGTTTCTGTTAAGTAATGTGGTTGATTCCTTCACTCATTCATTCCTTCACCTGTTCAACTGTTTATTGAGTGTTTGCTACCTGCCATTCATCATTTTTTGTTTGTTTGTTTTTGTTTTGAGACTGAGTCTTATTCTGTTGCCCAGGCTGGAGTGCAGTGGCACGATCTTGGCTCACTGCAACCTCTGTCTTCTGGGTTCAAGCAATTCTCCTACCTCAGCCTCCCAAGTAGCTGGGATTACAGGTGCCCGCTACCACCTCAGCTTATTTTTGCATTTTTAATAGAGACGGGTTTTCACCATGTTAGTCAGGCTGGTCTTGAACTCCTGACTTCCTCAGCCTCCCAAAATGCTGGGATTATAGGCATGAGCTACTGTGCCTAGACCCATCATTTATTAAACAATGATTGCAGTGCCATTCTGGGTGCTTGGGATAGATGCATCTGTGGATAAGAGAAACAAAGATCCTTGCCCTCGTGGAGTGACATGTTAGCAGAGTAGACACATAATAAACAAGTAAAATATGTATACGTTCGAAACTGTTAAGTGTTGGCTGGGCGCAGTGGCTCACACCTGTAATCTCAGCACTTTGGGAAGTCGAGGTGGGCAGATCGCTTGAGTCCGGGAGTTCAAGACCAGCCTGAGCAATATGGTGAAATCCCATCTCTACCAAAAAACAAAACAAAACAAGAAAACAAAAAATAAAAATTAGCCTGGGGTGGTGGCATGTGCCTGTGGTCCCAGTGACTTGAGAGGCTGAGCAGGGAAGAGCATTTGAGCCTGGAAGGCAGAGGTTGAAGCAGTAAGCAGAAATCACACCACTGTACTCCAGCCTGGGTGACAGAGTGAAACCCTGTCTCAAAACAGAAAGTGATGAGTGCTATGGAAGAAGAAGTGGAGCAAGAGAGGGACTTCAGGCCCGGGGACACAGTGGGGTTGAGCATGCAGATGTCTCAGGGAGAGCCTCTGAACTGTCCCTGAGGTGGAAATCGCCCTGGTGTGCTCAAGGACCAGCCAGGGGCAGATGTGGCTGGAGATGGGTGAGGGAGAGTAGTAGTAGGTGACACCAGGAGGTGAGAGTAGATCACACAGACCTTACAACATGCCAGGCTTTTCCTCGCTTGAGCTTAGAAAATTTGCACTTGGAGACTCCCGCAGCCTGCCCTACAAAGACCTGACTGCAAGAGGGCTGTTGTGTAGCCCAGGAGAGCTCTAATGGCTATGGTGGAGGCTTACCAGTGGAGATGGTAAGAGCAGATTACATGGACACTGTTCGGATCTCAAGCTTGCATGGTGCCTGTCAGTCACTCCAGCCCTGGTCCCCGGTCCTGCCTCAAGGTGGCCCATAGGAACTTGCTCCTGGGCAGGATTTGTGAACCCTGGCCTGACCTCTCTTTCTCTCCACAGAGTGTTCAAGAAGGCCAGTCCGAATGGAAAGGTGAGTCTGTAGCAGCTGCGCCCAGCAACTCCCTGACCTCACACTCTGGTCATTTTCTCTTGGGAAGCAGAGGAAATGGCATGTCCCCTGAAGTGCACACCTGTGTGGGAGGGGGCAGGTGCTGCTCCCCGTCTTAGGGGTGACACAGCTCTGTCTTTTGGAGCTGTCAGTTGAAGGGGGAAGGACACACTCAGGAAACTTTCTGAGTGGGGAAGCACAGCTCCCCGAGCTCTGGTGTGGAGAGAGATGGCCTGTCATAGAGAGACTTCAGTAAGTGTGTGACAGTGGAGGACAAGCCCATCAGTAAGCGCCGAGGGCCCTGGGGGAGTGAGTCCCCTGCTGTGAGAGGACCCTTAGCCAGGGCAGCTCCCAGGGTCTGGCTCTCTTGCTTTCTCCCTGCAGGCCCAGACGCCATCCTGTTTCCCCCTCAGTTCAGCAGGCAGACATTATTGACACCATTCCACACCAGGTCTGGGCTGAGCCGGTGGGGACAGGGGCAGGGTGTACTGAGATGAATGAGGCACAGCCTGTGCCTCTCACAGCCAGATGGCAGAGGCAGACACCGAAATCCATCATTTCAGCATGAAGTGGCAGGTGGGAGATACGGGGCCATCGGGGCTGCAGGACCCAGCCTGGTGGGCAGTGGCAGCTTCTAGGAGGGATGCATTTCCAGCAAGACAAGGTGAAAACGGTGTTGTAGGCAGGACACAAAAGCATAGGGACTGTGGGAATCTTAAGCAGCTGAGTTCAGAGTGCCAAGAGGGAGGCTGAGGCTGAGAGGCTGCAGGGCTGGTCACGGGAACCCTGTGGCTTGGCTTACGAGCTGGCCTGGGTTGGCAAATAGCACCACATGTGCTTCCACATCTCTCTTCTGTGCCCACAGCAGATAACATCAGTCGCCATTGCCCTTTCCTGCTGCACCAGGGTTTCATCTTAGATTCCTTCTTAGCCCAGAGTCCCAGACAGCTCCCTGCCCCCTCTCCCCGCTGGTAGATCTGAGTTGGCACTTGGAATGAAACCCATTTGTCATCCTTATTTTTGGACACTGAGGAACCATTAATGGGTTTCAGGCGGCAGTAGCATGGTTAGATTTGAATTTTAGGGCTGGGTGTGGTGGCTCACACCTATAATCCCAGCACTTTGAGAGGCCAAGGTGGGTGGATCACTTGAGGTCAGGAGTTTGAAACCCTGTCTCTACTAAAAATACAAAAATTAGCCAGGCGTGGTGGTGCATGCCTGTAGTTCCACCTATTTGGGAGACTGAGGTGTGAGGATCACTTGAACCCAGGAGGCAGAGGTTGCAGTGAGCTGAGATTGCACCACTGCACTCCAGCCTGGGCGACAGAGCGAGACTCCATCTCAAAAAAAAAAAAAAAAAAAAAAGATTTGCATTTTAGGATGTCTAGTCTAGCTAAAGAGGAGAGCAGGCTCTCAGCGAGTGAGCAGCAAGGGGCTGGTGTGGTAGTCTAGGCAGGAGTGGCTGTGGGGATGGAAAGGGATGGACCTGAGAAATAATGATGGTGATTGAGTCATGAGGATTGAAGGGTTGTTGAGCAACAGACACATCAGGGTGACACTCTGGATCTGGTTTAGCCGCTGGAATTCTGTCTCGGAGTTTTTCCCTCCTGGCTGGCTACTGAGTGGGTCATGAGTCCCCAACCCCTCAGTGCTTCAGAAGGCAAGTCATCACACACAGAACTGCTAACTGTGTGAGGCGGTGCATTTGTTCATTAGCTGGAGGTCACCTTTCCACAATGTATATCTATTTTAAAACATTGTGTTGTGCATGATAAATAACATATACTTTTAAGTCAATTTAAAAAATTAATTAGGCTGGGCGCGGTGGCTCACGCCTGTAATCCTAGCACCTTGGGAGGCCGAGGCAGGCTGATCACCTGAGGTTAGGAGTTTGAGACCAGCCTGACGAACATAGTGAAACCCCGTCTGTACTAAAAATGCAAAAATTAGCCTCACGTGGTGGTGCATGCCTATAATCCCAGCTACTCAGGAGGCTGAGGCAGGAGAATCACCTGAACCCAGGAGGCTGAGGTTGCAGTGATCTGAGATCGCGCCATTGCACTCTAGGCCGGACAAGAAGAGCAAAATTCCATCTCGATAAAAAAAAATTGGCCGGGCGCGGTGGCTCAAGCCTGTAATCCCAGCACTTTGGGAGGCCGAGACGGGCGGATCACGAGGTCAGGAGATCGAGACCATCCTGGCTAACACGGTGAAACTCCATCTCAACTAAAAATACAAAAAACTAGCCGGGCGAGGTGGCGGGCGCCTGTAGTCCCAGCTACTCCGGAGGCTGAGGCAGGAGAATGGCGTAAACCCAGGAGGCGGAGCTTGCAGTGAGCTGAGATCCGGCCACTGCACTCCAGCCCGGGCTACAGAGCAAGACTCCGTCTCAAAAAAAAAAAAATTAATTAAGAGAAAGAAAACGAGTCCTCGTATCAGTGGATCCCTGCCTGGCTACATGGGAGGAGGAGCAACTGAAGAACACAGTGCGGCCCGCGTTCAGAGCCTCTGAGGGCTCCATGCTCCTCCCTGCCTGGGGGCTCTCACCCTCTGAGATGCCCGCACTCCCACTCACCCGGCTTCTCTGCTGCTGCTGCTCCACCGGAAGTGGTGCTTGGCATGAAGATCTCTCTGGGCCTCAGTGTCCTCATCTGTAAAACAGGAACAATAATGACTTCTTCACAGGGTTTTGGGAGGAAGAGGTGCTTTTAAGATTTTACAAGGGTTTGCGAATCTTGGTATTAGGGATAGGGTGAAGGCCCAAGTCCAGTTAGGATTTTGATAAGAGTTAGGTATGGGTCTGGAGTTTCAGAGGCTGCTCTCAGGGTTTCCTCCAGGGCAGGGTCCTGTGTCCTCCGGGCCTGCAGCTGCTAACGACCCCTATGCCTCTCCTCCCCAGCTCACCGTCTACCTGGGAAAGCGGGACTTTGTGGACCACATTGACCTCGTGGACCCTGTGGGTGAGTCCTTGGAGGGCGAGAGGAGGGCTGGGGGAACATGGGGCTGGCCAAGCCTCCCAGAAATAGCTCTCAGCTCTCCAGAGGGGCTTGGTGCCAAGAACGGGGGTGGATGGCTTCCTGCTTCAGACAGCAAGCATTTACTGAGCAGCTACTTTCCCACTCAAGTGAGGACTGCAAGAAGAGACTGTGGGAAGGACTGAGGTGAGAATCAGGGAAGGCGTCCTGATGACGGTAAGAAGGGTGAGGGTGATGACGACAGACACCACCACTTACTATAAGGCGTGTCATGTAGCAGACAGTGGGGGTGGCTATGATGACTATCCCTGCTTTACAGACAAGGAGAATGAGGCACAGAGTGGCTCAGTGACTTACTCCAGGTCACAGAGCAAGTAGATAGAGGAGCCCGGTTCAAACCTGGCAGTCTGCAAAACTCTTTGTTCTGCTCTGCTTCCGTGTGATGGCAAAGGGTGGGAGAGAGAGGGAGAGTCCTTCTTAGAACTTGTGAAATGGGAGCTGTCCTCACGTACATGGCGGTCCTGCTAGAAGCTGGGCTGTGGCTGAAGGCATCTTCCAGGTTCTTATTCAAATTCAGGGTTTTGCAATCTCTGCATGCTTGACATTTTGGACTGGATAATTCTTTGTTGGTGTGGCCTGTCCTTTGTGTTATAGGCCGGATAGCCACATCCCTGGCCTCTACTCATTCAATGCCCAGAGTACCTCATGCTCCAGTTAGGACAACTAAAAATGTCTTTAGGCCGAGTGCGGTGGCTCATGCCTGTAACCCCAGCATTTTGGGAGGCTGAGGCAGGAGGATCACTTGATGTCAGGAGTTCAAGACCATCCTGGCTAACATGGTGAAACCCTGTCTCTACTAAAAATACAAAAATTAGCTGGGCGTGACGGTGGGCACCTGTAATTCTCCCACCCCAGCTACTCGGGAGGCTGGGATGGGAGAATCGCTTGAACCTGGGAGATGAAGGTTGTAGTGAGCTGAGATTGTGCCACTGCACACTAGCCTGGGAGACAGAGTGAGACTCCATTTCGGGGGGAAAAAAAAAAGTCTTTATTCGTTGCCAAAGTGTCTCATCTGGGGGCAGAATCACCCTGATTAAGAATGACTGCTCTCATTGGAAGAGCCTTGGTCTCAGGGTCTCTTCTCATGCCTGTTTGTGAGAGGGAAGCCTAGAATTACTCCTATTTTATAAATGGGCACAGTGAGGTCCAAAGAGGTTCAATGATTTTTGAAAGATGAGCAAGCCAGCTGGGCATGGTGGCTCACGCCTGTAATCCCAGCACTTTGGAAGGCAGATCACCCGAGGTCAGGAGTTTGAGACCAGCTTGGCCCACAGGGTGAAATCCCATCTCTACTAAAAAAAAAAAAAAAAAAAAAAAAAAATAGCAGAGCATGGTGGCGCACAACTGTAGTCCCTGCTACTGGGGTGGCTGAGGCATGAGAATCCTTTGAACCCGGGAGGCAGAGTTGCAGTGAGCCGAGATCATGCCACCGCACTCCAGCCTGGGTGACAGAGCAAGACTCTGTCTTAAAAAAAAAGACGAGCAAATCAAAGTGAGGCCTAGTGTGGCCTCTCCCATCAGTGTCCCTGCGGGCTGTCCTGGTGCCAGGGCAGGAGTGATCTGTGTGGTCCCTGAGCCAAGGGAGCGAGCCTGGCTGCGGACTTCAGCTCACCAGGAGGAAGACCTGGGGACACCGGGCTCCAGGGGCCAGGGGACAGTCAGTAGAGCCCTTCATGGCCTGGAGCAAACACCCCCACTTCTCCCCTCCAACCCTGCCTAGGATGCTGTTTGGTGTCTTCTGAAGCTCAGTGTCCCTCTGCCATTGGCATCTTCTCCCTGAGCTGGCCCCTCAGAGGCTGGGAGCAGGCATCCCGGTGCTCACCTGTGGCTGCTTCATGTTGTCATTTCTAGTGGCCCTCTGAGGCCAGGGTTATCTGTACCCATTGGCCTACTAAGGACAGCAGCAGAGGCAGCCCAGAGACTGGGAGAGGACAGGGTTAGGAATCTAGCCCCCAACACACGCAGGCACCCTGAGAGCTGTTCAGCAGGTGTTCACAGAGCACCCCCTCTGTACCAGGCCCCTTGTGAGCCCTGGGATCCCCGAGCACTCTGGGGCACTGTGCAGAGCTGCTCAGGGACTTACTGTGAGAGATTCTTCTCCCATAGTGACCCTGCCATTTGGCTTGATCTGATCATACCCTCCCTGTGCTTACCGGTTCCCCACCAAACCTGCACGCAAGTCTGAGCCCACTGGCCTCACCAACGGGACATTGATGATCCATCCTGGCCCTCCTCTTCCACTGGCAATGGAATGACAATGGGTTAGAGGGTAGGGGGAGAGAGAGGAAAGAAAGGTTTGGTCAGAGATAGACAGGGGATGTCAGCCAAGGGGGTGACCCTGAACCAGTGTTTCTGGCCTCCTGAGGTGCTGAGCAGAGATGTCCTTTGTGTTCAGCTGGACTCTGCTCCCGAGGGCCAGGGCACTGAGGCACCTTCCACAACCTGCAGAGTGCTCTCGAGTGCTCGGCACTGTCTAAGTGCTGTACACATGTGCACATTCATGCGTACACCCATTCAGTCCTCACGGGAGACCCATGAGGGAGGCACTGCAGATCACAACCCCTGATTCACATGTGGCAAGCCCAAGAAGCTCTGAAAACCTAGCATTGCTTCCACGTTTAATGCAGAATTCATTTATTGGTAAACCTGACCCCAGCTGATGTGAGGCTATATTTAGCCTCTTGGTGAGAATATTTGTGTTTTCCTACGGAGGTATCAATGGCTTTAGTAATAGGGTGCAGATCTTGCAGAGGTCATTACAGAATATATGGAACGTGTACCATTTTGCCTATTTTATTTTATTTTGAGACTTTTATTTTGAGTCTCGCTGTGTTGCCCAGGCTGGAGTGCAGTGGCATGAGCTCAGCTCACTGCAGCCTCCGCCTCCCAGGTTCAAGTGATTCTCTTGCTTCAGTCTCCCAAGTAGCTGGGACTACAGGTGTCCACCACCATGCCCGGCTAATTTTTGTATTTATAGTAGAGATGAGGTTTCACCATATTGGCCAGGCTGGTCTTGAACTCTTAGCCTCAAGTGATCCACCTGCCTCAGCCTCCCAAAGTGTTGGGATTATAGGCATAAGCCCCCATGCCCGACCCATTTTGCCTTACTATGCTTCACAATTTCTAAATTCCAAAGTACACCTGGTTCTAGGAGTTTTGGACCTGTGTTACTATTCTTACTAACAGATGAAGAAACAGAAATGTTAACTAACCTGCTTAAAGTCACCAGCTGGGTCTGTTAGGCTGGCCTGGGATAGGGGAAAGGTAGAGCATGGTGGAGGTGGGCAGTGCCACCCTCTAGGTGCCGGCCTTTCCATTTTTCTCAGGATGATTTTAGATGGACATATGGTTGAATCTGGGCTTGGGCTGGTGTTTGGGGGCGCAGAGGTTTGGGAGGCCAGGTTGGGAGAGGCTGCTCACTCTCTGTCCTTTCCCCAGATGGTGTGGTCCTGGTGGATCCTGAGTATCTCAAAGAGAGGAGAGGTAGGCTGTGGCCCCCATCCCCAGCCTGTCAAGGGCCTCCTCTTCCCCCTGGACCTCTAGCATAGGATCTCCCTGTCCGTCCCCACTGGTTCCCCTGAAAGCCTCAACAAATACCCCCACAGATGCCCTTGCCTCCTCCAGCCTGGGACGGCCCTGCCCCAAGCCTACTTTGGGAGAAGGTTTCCCTATGCCCTGAGCACTTTCACATCAATATGTCATGACTATGGCAAGGCTGGGGATGCCAGCAGGGCAGGATTAGGGTCTTCTTTAACAGAACAGAACGTTGATACCGGGGCAGTATCAATGTGCACCAATGTGCAGGAAGACAATGTGCACCAATGTGCACCAATGGGCGACTGAGCTGTGACAAGACCCTTGCCTTCCAGATACCACCCAGCACTTGCTCTGCCCCTACAACTCCCTGCTCCTTCCCCAGTCCCCCTACCCCCACCCCAGGCCTGCCAGACTACTCCAGCGCCCGCCAAGCCTGTCAGACCGTTTCCATACCCCTCCACACATGCCCTGGGGAGAGGTGGGAGGGGGAAGAAGGACAGGGCTTGCCCAGCAGGCAGCCCCCTCCTCCTCCCAGGGGCCAGGCCATGGCATCCTTCCAGGTACTCAATACCAGCCCCTCCTGGTGGAGACAGTACAGCCATCCCCAGAGAGCTTGGGACAGGCCTGGGGCCTCCAGCGGGGCCTGTCCCAGGGCTGCTGTTGGCACTCTGGGGGGCTCACCTGCTGCTCTCCCAGGCCCCTCCTCAGTGCTCCCTGCTCCCCACAGTCTATGTGACGCTGACCTGCGCCTTCCGCTATGGCCGGGAGGACCTGGATGTCCTGGGCCTGACCTTTCGCAAGGACTTGTTTGTGGCCAACGTGCAGTCCTTCCCACCAGCCCCCGAGGACAAGAAGCCCCTGACGCGGCTGCAGGAGCGCCTCATCAAGAAGTTGGGCGAGCACGCCTACCCTTTCACCTTTGAGGTCAGGAACTGCCACCCCTGGAGCCCCATTCCAGAAATACCACCTCTAGGAAGCCCTCTGGGGTGGGCATAAGGGGTCGGTGTGGGTCAGCTGCTCCCTGCCACCCAGTTTCCCAGTGTATGCTGGGACCTGGGGCACTGACACCTATGTTACCTGGTAAGTGTCTCTTCTCTAGCCCCTGCTGGCGTTTGTCACCTGTACCTTTGGGCCACTCAGACCGAGGCCAGGTCATTGGTGGGAGAAAGGGGGCGCCAAGGGGCTTCAGAGAAAGCAGGAGCCCTTTGTGGCCTGTGAGTCACTGCAAGGTGTCTCCCGCTCAGATCAGCTCCCCACTTGCCTGGTTTAACGCAGCTCGCAAGAGAGGGATGGCAAGTAGGTGATCTGTCTGCTCCACCACCTTTCAAATCAGAGACTAAGATGCTGGATTTCAAAATCTCAAGTTTCTTAGGCTCTCTGATTCTGAGATTCAGTGTGGTCCCTCCCTTTCTGGGAGACTTAGAGAGTGGAGAGGGTTATGGAGTCACCTCCACATAGACATGTTAGCTCCCTATGGCTGCTGAAACAAATTGCCACAAACTTGGCAGCAATTAAAACAACACAGATGTATGAGCCTACAGCTCTGGAGGTCAGAAGTCCCAAAACAGGTCTCAGTGTGCTACAGTGGAGGCATGGCAGGGCTGGCTCCTCTGGAGGCCCTCAGGGAGCGTCTACCTTTTCCAGTTTCGCTTTCCTTGGATCCTGGTGCCTTCCTCCATTGTCAAAGCCAGCAGTGGCTGTTGAGTCTTTTGCACATCCCATCACTCTGGCTCGTACATTTCTGCCTCCTGCTTCCACTTCTAAGGACTCTTACAATGATATCGGGCCCACCAAAATCATCCAGGATACTGTCCCCATCTCAAGACCTTAATTGGATCTGCAAAGTCACTTTTGTCGTTAAGGTCCCAGGTTTGGGGGATCAGGGTGTGGACATCTTTGGGGGACCATTATTCTGCCAACTACAGTAGACATCATAGAAAGATCTATTTAAACCATTGCTGTGAGAACTGGGCTAGGCCGAACTCTTTAGATAAAGAAAACTCAGACACTTGCGGGGCATGGGTTGGCATGGTCTGATGGGGTAGACATGGCCTGTCCCCTGGGGCCCTTGGTCTGATAGGTGTATGGGCGTGTCTGGGCTGCAAGACATGAGACAGGACAGTGGTGGATGTGATAGATGGCTCGTTCTGTCTTCTTGACAGATCCCTCCAAACCTTCCATGCTCTGTGACACTGCAGCCAGGGCCCGAAGACACAGGGAAGGTAGGTTACCATCTCTCTGGCTCCAGGACTCTCAGGTCCCCAGGTCCCTGGCTTTCTCCCTGGGAGGTGCTGGACACACAGAACCACTCTCCCTGTTGAACAGTGTTAGGCTAAGCTAGTCCCACCTTGGACAACCAGTCTCTCTTTAGACAGGGCAGCAGGTATGGGGTCAGCCTCACTCTCCCATTCAGTGATGGGTCCAGAGGCCCTCCTGAGTGGCGTTGGTTGCAACAGGACCAGAGTGTTCTGAGGACCTACATCTGGCCTCACGTCACCCCTGGCAACCTTGAATCAAGGTGTGATCATCCCCATGTCACAGATGGGGAAACTGAGGCTTGGAGAGAAGTGACACCACTAGCTGCAGGCCTTTGAGCCCAGCTTCCTCATCTGCAAGATGGAGATGACAGCACGTGCCTCCTTGTATTATTAGAGGGATACCGGAGAAGCCACCCGGGGCCTGGTCTGCACACAGTAGTAGGTGCCCCCAGTCTGCTCAGGTACCTGTTGCTATTTCTGGGCAGCTGCCTGGATGAGGATGGCCACCCAGACTGAGGCAGGAGTCCAAAGAGCAGAGCCCTGTTTGGATGATTTGGGATGTCCCATGTCAGATGGAGGAGGCAGCACAGCACTGGGGCTGAGCACAAGGGCGTTCCCCTGCTTCTTCCAGACCGAGGAGGGCTGGGCTGTGGGAGCTTGGTGTTCCTGTCCAGTGTCCTCGCTTGTAAAATGAGAGGTAGGCTGGCTGTGTACTGGGGACCCTGCTTCTCCAAGGCCCTGTGGTCAGTGACCCCTTCCCCACAGGCTTGCGGTGTGGACTATGAAGTCAAAGCCTTCTGTGCGGAGAATTTGGAGGAGAAGATCCACAAGCGGTGAGTAGGATGCCAGGGTGTGGGCCGCCTGCCGGGTGAGGGAGGGAGACAGGATGGGCAAAGTCCAAGAGGAGATAAGTAACAATACCTGGAAGTGTGTGAGGAGGGGCGCACATTCCAGTCTTGGAAGGGCACTCTGGAAGCTGGGAGGTCACGGAGGGCTTCCTGGGGGAGGTGGCTTTGACTGCCCAGGTTCAGGCTGCAGCAGCATCTCCTTTGCACTGTTGTGGAAGCTTCCTCCCTCATCTCCCTGCCTCTCATTTCATCCTCTCCAGACTGCATGTCTTTTTAATTTGTTTTGGAAAAATCCTAAATTCAGATTGTGTTAAACCGTGAGCAGGCTGTTTCCTGACCATCCCCATTTTCCAGTTTTCCTCCTGGGAGGAGTTCAGCAGGGGTTGAGTGTGTGTCAATGGCAGCTTCTAAGTGAGGAGGAAGTGGAGATAGTGTACCCATCCAGGGCAGAGTGACAGGGAGCTCAGCCCACATCCGAGAGAGGGGAAGCATTCTCTGGAGAAGCACAGCCCAGGCAGACAGAGAGCCCAGGCTGGCAGCCAGAAACAGCTGGCCCGGATGTCTCAGGCCTGCCCCTCCTGGGTCAGGCTATGCTCTGCCTGCCTCCTGGAAGAGCTGGTGGGCCCTCAACGCTGATGTTCCTGCATCCAGAGGCACTGTTCCCAGAGGAGGTTGGCTGAGGGCACAGCAGCCTTTTTAGGGCATGGGCTGAATTTGCCACCTGGTGGCTATAGGGTGTATTGCATACATTTGCATCTGCAGCCCTGCCTGTGTGTGGGGAGATGGGACTTTTCTCCCTTGCTTCTCTGTCTCCCTTTTCCTCTTAAGACCTGAGACAAGGGAAAAGGAAGGGTGCTGTGGGATGTGGGAGGAGGCTTAGCAAGCACAAGAAAGAAGAGGTGACATTGAGAGCCACCCCTCTCACCCTACCACCAATGGGACATTTAAAATCCACACCAAGGAGTTACTAATAATAATGATATAGAAGCTATCATTTATCAAGGGCTGATTAGGTGCCAGACACCATTCACAGTGCTGGGCTGTACGAACTAATTTAATCCTCACAGCAGCTCTAAGAATTAGGTCCTGGCTAGGCGTGGTGGCTCACGACTGTAATCCCAGAGCTTTGGGAGGCTGAGGCGGGCAGATCACTTGAGGCCAGGAGTTTCAGACCAGCCTGGCCAACATGGTGAAACCCCATCTCTACTGAAAATACAGAAATTAGGCAGGTGTGGTGGCACATGCCTGTAATCCCAGTTGCTCGGAAGACTGAGGCAGGAGAATTGCTTGAACCTGGGAGGCAGAGGTTGTAGTGAGCTGAGATCGCGCCACTGCACTCCAGCCCAGGCAACAGAGTGAGACTCCACCTCAAAATAAATAAAAAAATAAAAATTTAAAAAGCAAAAAAAGAGGTAGGTCCTTCTATCATCACCCTTTACAGATGAGGGAATGGAGGCAGAGAGGTTAATGTACCCAAGTCCACATAGTTAGCAAGAGAGGAGAGCTGGGAGTTTGACCCTGGCTCCCCCGTTCCAGGCAATGGAAGCAGCTTATCTGAGCAATGGAGATGCAGCATTCCCAGCATGCCTCAGAGATGGCCTCACCGAGTCCCCCTCCCTCACCAGATCCTCATTTGCTCCCTGATCCCCTGTAACCTTCGTGGAGCCAGTCTCATCCATGGGCCTTCTCCCCTCCCTGGGCTTGTCCCCTTCACTGGCTTGCATCCCCCTGACTGAATCCACACCTCCTCCCTGAACCCCAACTCCTCCCCAAACCCCATTTCTTCTTGGGACCCCTGTCCCCTCTGCGTAGTTTTACATAATAGATATCTGGCATGTGTTTATTATATGGCACGCACAGTCATAGGTGCTGAGAGTACAGTTGTGAACACCTTAGACACAAATTTCTGTCCTTAAAGAGCTTACACAAATAGTGTCCTGTGTCACCAAAATAGATGACAGAGGGACACTATTTGTGTAAGGTGACATAGGGAGGCGGGAAGTGACATTGTTACCTATTTGGTGACATAGGGAAGCAGGAGGTGAAAATGTAGTCCCTGTTTCAGCATCCTGCTGGGTACCAGGACCCAAATGAAGTGCGGCCACAGGGCACTTCTGGGATAGAACAGGGGAGGATGGAATGGAGCCAGATAGTGACAGACCCCTATGCTGACCTCTGCATTTTGGCTGGATTTGAAGGCATTGAAGAGCCATGCCAGTCTCTTGAGCAGGAGAATGATGTGAAGCTTGCAAGGAGAGGGGATGAAGGCAGGTGACCCTGGTCCTCTTTCACTCCGCCCATCCCCATTAGGAATTCTGTGCGTCTGGTCATCCGGAAGGTTCAGTATGCCCCAGAGAGGCCTGGCCCCCAGCCCACAGCCGAGACCACCAGGCAGTTCCTCATGTCGGACAAGCCCTTGCACCTAGAGGCCTCCCTGGATAAGGAGGTAGGAGGCTTGAACTGGGCAGGGGGTGGGGGCTGCTCCACTAGGGCCTGGGCCTCAGATCCCAGCTCTCTCCTGGCCTGCAGGGATGCCTCAGGTAGGAGCTTCTACCCCCAGCCCAAGGACCACAGGGCTCAGGGAATCTGAGACCTCTCCTGGGGGATTTGGAGAAGTCTCTTGGGCCTAAAGGAATGGCAGAGGGGGTGTGAACTTGAGGGATGTGATGGACTTCAGAAGGGAGGAGCAGACCCTCCCGAAGGTCCTGGACATCTCCCCCACACCTCCACCAGCTGCCTGCTTCAGGCCGAGTGCTGAAGGTCAACCAGCATTGCAGAGGGGGTACGGTGGGGGGCTGTGACCTCCCTGCCAAACCCTGAGCATCAGGGCGACAAGCCTTGCTGAAGGAAGGGCCTCCCCTCAAGCTCTGAATCAAACCCAGATGACTGATGCCTGCTGTGAGCTCGGGCTAGCCCCTCCTCAACGTGTGGGCACCCCCTCTCTCTCGGGGCATGGCTGAAGGGAAGTGCCTTGGGGCAAGATGCAGGTTGAGGCCTTTTTATGGGGATTCAGAGCTGGTTCCCTCAGTGAGCTGGTCAGCCCCTCCTCACCTTTCCCTGCTTCTTCCAGATCCATCCATGGACAGAATTTAGAGCTGGCAGGGACTTCAGATATCACCTAGTCCAACCCCTTCATTGCACAGAGGGAGACTCTGAGGCTTAACCTACCCATGGTCACACTGCTTTCATCATCATCAGTGTTATTGTTGTTATTGTTGTCATGATTACTGGTGGCCAAGCCAGGGCTGGAGCCCAGGACTATCACCTTCCAATTCCATATCTTTCAAGGGTCCCACCAGGGAACTGAAGGGTAATGTGCTTGGTGGCTTTCGTGCCACCTTAGCAGCAGTGGGAAGTGGCTGATGAACTTGGGGCAAATGTCACAATGCCTTGGGGGATTCAGAGAAATCTCTTGGGCCTAAAGGAGTGGCAGAGGGGGCATGAACCTGAGGGATGTGATGGACTTCAGAAGGGAGCAGCAGACCCTTCTGAAGGTCTGCCCAAGGTCTGGGGAACCCCAGAAGATCGCGTGGGGGCTTTTCTCCCTCCCCTTTCCCTAGAACCTTGCTGTCCTCCCAGCCAACCCCATCCCTTCTTATGCCCCCCAGATCTATTACCATGGAGAACCCATCAGTGTCAACGTCCACGTCACCAACAACACCAACAAGACGGTGAAGAAGATCAAGATCTCAGGTACCCCAGGCAGAGGGTCAGCTTAGGGGACAGCAAGAGGCAGTCTTCCCAAGGGCTGGGAGTGGCCGAAGGATCTCCCCTTGTTAACAGCCTTGTATAAAAAATAGCCACTGAAGCCTGGGGCCTGCTCTGAGCCACAGGGCAAAGCTTTTGAGTCGGGTAAGGCAGGCTGCTTATTGGCCAGGTAATGAGCTTGCTCTTTAAGCCACCTCTTCAGTTTCTTGGGTTCTGGGCAAAGCTGTCCTTGAGGGGAAGGCTTTGGTTATGGAAGGAAAGGGATGTGTTTGGGGCTACCCTTTGGATGGAAGACAGGGGTGGTCTCATGCAGAAGTCCCCACTGGTGGCCTCTGGCCATTGCCTGGGGCTGAATATCCCCAACCCGGGACGCCTGTGAGACTCCATGGGAGCTGCATTCCTGACTCACTCCACCTCAATTCCTCTCCCTCCTTAGTGCGCCAGTATGCAGACATCTGCCTTTTCAACACAGCTCAGTACAAGTGTCCTGTTGCCATGGAAGAGGCTGAGTAAGTGGGCACAAGTCTGGCCTTGGGCGTGTGGGATTTGGTGGGAAAAAGAGAAGCTCTAGGTGTCCCGTTACAGGTCCAGGTGGCTCTTCTCCACCTGGCAGAGGGCTGGGCCTCAGACTTCCTTGCCATTCAGAGTAGATGATCCCGAAGAGCCTTTTAGAAACCATCCACCTGATTTATCTACAAGAAAATGCATGCTACGGTCAAGGAAGAGACCCACTAAAACTAGAACGACAAAACAAGAGCTAATGAATGTAAGGGGATTGGGGTTGTGGAGAGAAGATAATTACGTTGTACAAGAAAACTAGGTTGAAGGGAAATACTTTGTTCTTGAACTTTCTGGTAGCCAGGGCAAAGTGGATAAGGCACTAGGTACAGAGCTCTTGTCTGATAAAGGGGTAATCCAGCTCATTGGGTGAAAGGGGTTGTGTGGGGGAGTGTGGAGAATAATTACACACACACATACACAATCCAGGTTTGAGGAGAACTACTATGGTTGAGCATGGACTGAACTTTGTCCCAAGCTTGTTGGCAGCTGAGGCAAGAGGAGAGATCTCAAGTGAAACATCTTTACTTGCCTAAAGGAAGTAAATGCTCCCATTCAAAGACACACACATTTTTTTTTTTTTCCCCCTGGCCCTGCAAGTAATTTCCTGGGGCAATGACACCCGATATAATTTTACATGTATATGTGTATTTGTTTATATATAATTCCAATCAGTATTTCTTGCAACTTAAAACATTTTTAAAATGTCACTACATGACCTTTGAAATAGTTTTTAATGTCCTATAGGTGAACATGCTATGATTAGATCAAGCATTCTCTGGTTATTGGATATTTTTCATATCCACTGTTGATTTTTTCAAAAAAATCAGAGCTATGAGGCATAAATTCCTGATGGTAAAGTGAAATGATCTAGAACCAGAGTAACGTATAATCCCTAAAGAGTAGAAAATCGCAACCACTGCAGATGGTGCCAGCGTCTGCATAACGAATACCAGCAGGGATGGCTGGGGAGGCATTTGCATTCACAGACTTGTTTACTTCTCAGGAAGCACTGTGGGACTGGGGTTGCTGCTGCCCCAGTGTGTACAGGAGGAAGTGGCTCAGAGAGATGTGACTTGCAAGCTAGCAAGCAGCAAAGCTGGGGTTGGAACACAGGTCGTCCGACTCCAAGGCTTGTTCACTATCTGCTGCATGACAGCTCTCTCATTGGAAAGAGTGGGGGGATAGAGCAAAAGCAAGTAAAAATTGGACAGTCAAAACGCCCTATGTATGATGGATGTGATCAAGCAAGTAACATTTTAATTGTTGAGCCTATATGATGGGTATATGGCTGCCCAAATAGCTTCATTTATGGTTTGTGTGTAGCTATAATTTTTTCTTTTTAAAATTTGTTTCGAGACAGGGCTGGTGCTTATGCCTATAATCCCAGCGCTTTGGGAGGCTGAAGAAGGCGGATCACTTGAGGTCAGGAGTTTGAGACCATCCTGGCCAACATGGCGAAACCCCATCTCTACTAAAAATACAAAAATTAGTTGGGCATGGTGGTGTGCGCCCGTAATCCCAACTACTTGAGAGGCTGAAGTAGGAGAATTGCTTGAACCTGGGAGGTGGAGGTTCCAGTGAGCCAGGATCACACCACTGTACTGTAGCATGGGCGACAGAGCGAGACTCTGTCTCAAAAAATAAAATAAAATAAAAATTAAATAAAATTAAAAAATAAAATTAAATTAAATAAAATGTTTAGAGACAGAGTTTCACTCTGTTGCTCAGGCTGGAGTGCAGTGGTATGATCATGGCTCACTACAGCTAGCCTCGAACTCCTGGGCTCAAGTGATCGTCCTGCCTCAGCCTCCCAAGTAGCTAGGACTACAGGTGTGTGCCACCATATCAGGCTAATATTTAAAATTTTTTGTAGAGAGGGGGTCTTGCTATGTTGCCCAGGCTGGTCTCAAACTCCTGGCCTCAAGCAATCCTCCTGTCAGCCTCTCAAGTTGCTGGGATTACAGGCATAAGCAACTGTACTGGCTGTGGCTGTAATTTATTATTATTATTATTTTTGATATGGAGTCTTGGCTCACTGCAAGCTTCGCCTCCCGGGTTCATGCCATACTCCTGCCTCAGTCTCCCAAGTAGCTGGGACTATAGACGCCCGCCACCACACCCGGCTAATTTTTTGTATTTTTAGTAGAGATGGGATTTCGTTATGTTGGCCATGCTGGTCTCAAACTCCTGACCTCAGGTGATCCACCCACTTCAGCCTCCCAAAGTCCTGGGATTACAGGCGTGAGCCACTGTGCCCGGCCAGCTGTAATTTTTTAAATGAATATGCTTTTCAGCACCGTGCTGCTTGACTCGGACAATCTTTTAGAATATCCCAGATTCAGTCCTGTTTGTGCGTAGAATGTAGATAGATGTGCCTCTTTTGAGTGGCAGTGGTTCTCCTTGCCTGAGCTGGGCTGGCCCAAGTGGTCCGTGTGTCTAGGGAACAGAGATTGGGAGAGGGAGACTTGGAGCAGGCCCAGACTAGATATTCTGCTGGGCTGGAGATCAGGGGTGGGGTTGGCTCTGGGGAGGGCCATCTCCACAGCTGCTTCCCTTCTTCCCAGTGACACTGTGGCACCCAGCTCGACGTTCTGCAAGGTCTACACACTGACCCCCTTCCTAGCCAATAACCGAGAGAAGCGAGGCCTCGCCTTGGACGGGAAGCTCAAGCATGAAGACACGAACTTGGCCTCTAGCACCCTGTGAGGACCTGCCCTCCTAGTCCTGGGCTCCTAGTGCACCTTGCCTGATGGGGTCACACCCTCCTTGGTTTCCCCAGTTCAAAGACAAAGCTCAGGCTACCCTCTCCACAGCCTTGTCAGGGCCTGTCCTCAGGTGCTTGACTTGTCAGGGAAGCTGCCTCCTTGCTCCCATTCCTACCCAGGGGTGACTGAGAATAAGATGGACCACTAGGCCAGCTCGCTCAGGCAGTGCTGGGCTCTGCTACCATGCCTGGGGGAGGGCAACCTGGGAAGGCTTCCTGCAAGAGGTGGCAGCTTCTGACGTAATGCCTTCAGTCAGATGGGGTGTCCCTGAGGAGAGACCAGGGTGGTGAGCTGGGTTAGACCTAACATGGGGTGCCCCTCCAAGTCAGGGGTCCCAGGGCATCTGGTCACTCCTGCTGCACGGTCATCATGGATGCCTCTAGGCTACTCTGCTCCAGCAGAGCCCTGGCTATGGGGTGCCATCTTGCCCTCTTGCGAGTGTGGTCCTTCAGTGGGGCTTTGGCCTGCGTCTAGAGCAGCCGCCACTGCAGCACAGACTCTCTCAGCTCTTCTCAGCAGCCCCTGCACAGCCTCCCAGTTACCTGTAGCTTTTTGCCCTGTCTCCACACTGGCTCACACCCTATCCACCTTCAAGACCCAGCTGAGGCACCACTTCTGTGGAGAAGTCCTTCTCTGACGGCCCCCACCCCACCCAAGCTGCCTGGCCCTCTTTGAACTCTGTGTGTGGCCCTTTCTGCCCATGGGTTGCTGAGAGAAGCAGAATCCATCTGAGGGGAGGAGGAGCTCGGCCCTCACTGCGGGCATGCTGACCTGGGCAGGGAGAGGGGCTCAACAGGGCTACACAGCGAGCGAGTCTCACAGCCAGACTTGGAACCGGGGCTCTGGGTCCCTGCTACCTAAGGGCACTGCTCACCTTCCTCACCTCCACTGCACTTTACTGGACATGGTAGCTGAGTGGCCAGCCAAATGGGGGATGGATGGCCACTGCCCCCCAGCACACCCACCCCTGAGGTGTCTCGCCCACCTGGCAAGGCCCCTGAACCAGCTCCCCTGTGTCACTTTGCAGGTTGAGGGAAGGCGCCAACCGTGAGATCCTGGGGATCATTGTTTCCTACAAAGTGAAAGTAAAGCTGGTGGTGTCTCGGGGCGGGTGAGTGCTCTAGCCAAGCCCAAGACCCTGGCGTGCAGAGGGGAGCGTTGCAGATGCTCACAGGCCCCTGCCCCATTCTGCCTGTTTGCAGCCATTTTAGCTGCATCCACCTTGGAGGAGGAACCTCCTGTCCCTTCTGTTCCTCTTTCTCCTCCCCTGCCTGCTTTTCCTCTCTTCCTTCCTTGGCCCTCAACCCCTCTCTTACCCCCGGCCATCTCTTTCTCTCCTCCTTCTCCTCCTCTATCCTGGGTCTGGGCTCACACTGAGGATTGGCCATGCCCAGGGGACGGCGTCCTCAGAGTCTATGCTGTGGGGTGCCCAGGGGTGCAATCTCCTCATCACACTGTGGGCATGGCACCCACCCCCATGCATGCCCAAGCTAATTTTCTGAGGAAACAGCTAAAAGGGCTCAGAACCCAGAGCTGGATTGCGGATTTACTAGCTAGTCAGCTTTGCCTTTTTACAGATGGTAAAACAGAGGCCCAAACAGTGCCCCAAACATTGCCTGAAATCTCCTCCCCTAACTCAGGTCATGGGCTGGGGTCATAGCGGTGGACCAGACTTCCCTGCCCTGGAGCATAGTTTGGTGGAAGCTTGGGGAGAAGAAGAAAAAACAACTACGTTTCTTTTTTGTAACTTAATTCATAAATTTCTATGAAAAGATTGAAAAGCTAAACCCCATTAGACATTGGGTCTCCTTGATTATTAGAAGAATGCCTCTTGGCAGTGGCAGTGTGTAATCCTGACCTTATATAATAAAACATCTCAAAATTACAAATCCCAAATCCTGTGTCTGGTCACCTTTCAGGATCTGCAGTCCCTCAAACATTCTTGGCAACTCCGGAGTCCTTCCCTCTGCCTTTAGATAGCCCAGCCTCCCTTGGGGCAGGCAGCACTGGGGTTAATTTTTACACTGCCTTTATAGATGAGGATCCTGGGGCTCAGGGGGTTTGCTGAGCTGGGTTTGGATCCCAGTCCCTTGGGGCAGGGCTAATGCCATTTCAGTGTATCCCTGAAAGAGCAGTCAGGGCTGTGCAGGGGGGTGGGTGGCAGTGTGTCCCATGGGTCTTCTCTATCCGGGGGACAGCAGAAGTGGTGAATGAATGTGCTTTTTGTTTTCTTCCTCTCTCCTCTCTGAACTCTCTCCCAACCACTTCTCCTGCCTCCTCTGACCCACCCAGCCTGTTGGGAGATCTTGCATCCAGGTAAATTCCTCCCTTCCACCGTTCACCCACCTTCCTGGAGGGCCTGGAGCCCATTGGGTTGACTGACCAGAATCACAGGGCACTGGGTTGGAAGGAATCTTAGTGGTCATTACAGATTGCCAGGTTCAGGTGTGAGCTGGGAGACACAATTTCTCTTTAACAAACCTTACCTTGCTCTTCCATCCCACCCGAGTGACAGGGACCTTTACAGAGAGCAAAGCCTGATTACATTGATACACGGAGTGGCCCCCAAGAGAGCAGTTTGAATTACTGATCACCTGAATTATAGGAGCTTTTGGAGAAATGCAGACTTCATGACTTTCAAACTTCTACACTAGTGAGGATGAACTGCTGGCCGAGTGTTGCTAAGGAGAGGTCCTTAGGAGATCCTATTTTGTAAACAAGGTCTCCTTGCAGCCAGCTGGATGCACTTATATTCCAAAAATGCATGTACCCCAAACACAGCAGTTTGGCCTCCTCCTGTCACAAGATGGCAGTGTGGCTCATCCTAAGAAATCTTAGACTAATTTGACAGGTGAAATTCGTTCAATTCAATTCAGTTCCATATAATTCAGCAAAGATTTCCTCACCCCGGGCTTGTGTCCAGGCTAGTGCTGAGTGCCAGAGTCCCAGAGAGGAATCAGATGTGGCCCCTGACCTTATCGTTCCTGGCCCAGTAGAAGGTTAAGATCCAGATTCTTCCACTAAACTGTTGGCAAACCCAGTCTTCCACTAGCTCCATTCTGAAGCAATCCCCAAAGCAAAAGGAAAAAAAAAAAAAAAGAGAGAAGAAAAAACGGTCAAATAGCTCTGACAGCCTTGTAAAACCCCCAGGTTCCCACTGAGGGGAAGTAATGATTCTGGCAGGCACAAGCTTCACATTTTTATTTGATTTTTTAATTCTTTTTGAGACAGAGTCTCGCTCTGTCAGTCAGGCTAGAGTGCAGTGGCGCCATCTTGGCTCACTGCAACCTCTGCCTCCCGGGTTCAAGCAGTTCTCTCCCTCAGCCTCCCAAGTAGCTGGAATTACAGGCACCCGCCACCATGCCTGGCTAATTTTTGTATTTTTATTAGAGACAGTATTTCACCATCTTGGCCAGGCTGGTCTTGAATTCCTGACTTAATGATCCACTCGCCTCAGCCTCCCAAAGTGCTGGGATTACAGGCATGAGCCACCGTGCCCGGCCTAATTTTTGTATATTTAGTAGAGATGGGTGGTGGGGGCAGTGTCTCACCATGTTGCCCAGGCTGGTCTCGAACTCTTGAGCTCAAGGGATCCGCCCGCTTTGGCCTCCCAAAGTGCTGGGATTACAGGCTTGAGCCACTGTGCCTGGTCAAGCTTCACAGTTTAACTCAGCCCTTTAGCTGCCTCATCTCCCAGAAGTTCCAGTGGTTCTAGAAGACAGGCTATCTAGAACCTATTGTTATCCCCATTTCCACGTGGAGCTCAGTGAGACTCAAAGCTAGAAAGTGCTGCACCAGCGAGTGGTGAGGCTGGTGGAACAGACCTTTCTAATTGCATGGCTTGTGCCTCTGACCACTCCATTCCCTGTCCCTTCCTCTTTCCCAACTGGGCTCTGGACAAAAAGATCAGTAAGATGTGGCTTGTGCCTGTAGGCACTCGCAGTTGGGGGGTTTCCTAGGGTGATGCCACCCCAAGCCGAGAGGAGCCTTCAGAGTTGCTTTTGTTGGTCTCAATTCTGCTACTGTCACACAGTGATCAAGGGTGTGGCTGTGGAGCCAGAATCTGCTGTCACTTATCATTAATAGCTGTGTCACCTTGGGCAAGATATTTTAATCTCTTCATATACCTCAATGTGCCAGTCTGTACATTGGGGATAATAATAGGGTTGTTGCAAGGATTAAATGAGTTACTCTATGGAAGGGGCTTACGGTAATCCTTGGCACAGGGTCAGTACCATGTGAATACTTGCTCTTATTCTGTCCATCAGGGCCAAGTACAGAGAAAGCCCCATCAGAAGCACTGGCTGGTGGCTGGGTCTTCCCGACTGCTTTCTCCTGCATCCCCACGGTGTGGACAGCCTTGGGCCCTGGGGCCATCCTAAACCTGACTAATCTGACCTCCACAGTGCTTCATCCAGATTGCAGGGGTGCTAGGGTCACCTGAGCACTTTTACAAGAGTGCCCTGGAGGTGTTGGGAGATGGGATGGTGTGAGGGTGGGAGGAGTTCCAACCTGGAAGTTGGGAAGGGCAGTGTCAGGGGAGGTGAGGGTGGCTGTGGCGATTTGAGGTGGGCAGGGTCCCAGGGCACCTCTGGAGCCCCGCAGTGACCATGGTGCATGCTGCCCTGGGCAATCCTTTCCCACCCCTGGGCCTCCTCCCAGCCCATGGGAACCCAGGGAGCCTTCTCAGGAAAGGGGAGGCTTCCATTTCTTTTTGGAGCCAGAGGAAGTCTCCTCATCCAGCTCCCAGGCAGATGGAGGCTCCGAGTGGCAGAACTGGGGCTGGATGGCATCTTTTGGATCTACCTCCTCTGATGGCAAAACCCTTCGCAGTCCTCCCTGACAGGGCGTTGACATCGAGTCTCACAGCCTGCGAGTCTGCTCAAGGCTCACTGGGTCTGGGTCTCTTTCAGTGATGTGGCTGTGGAACTGCCTTTCACCCTAATGCACCCCAAGCCCAAAGAGGAACCCTTGCATCGGGAAGGTGAGCAGAATCTGTGGGTCTCTGGGGTAGGGATTCTCCAGCAGCTGCCATGTGACCCTGTAACCTACCCCCCGCCCCGGTTTGCCCTCAGCCCAGTCACCCTTTTCTCAGGTCCCCACATCTTTTGTGGGATCCAGAACTCGATTTGCTTCTGACCCAACCAGGACACAGTGAGGCATGGCTCCTGTTCCCCGTGGGAGAGGGAGACCAGGAGTGGAGGAGGGAACTCACTGACCATGCTTTGAGCCTCTATCTTGCACCCAGGCATGGGCTGGATCCCGTTTGGAAGTAGGGGAAGGGGCTGCTTGGATAAGATGACCGCTGGACACACTATTGTCATGTTTTTCTCCTTCTTTTTTTTTTTTTTTTTTTTTGTTTTTGAGATAGTCTCATTCTGTTGCCCAGGCTGGAGTGGATCTTAGCTCACTGCAACCTCCGCCTCCCAGGCTCAAGAGATTCTCCTGCTTCAGCCTCCCAAGTAGCTGAGATTACAGGCGGCTGCCACCACACCTGGCTGATTTTTGTATTTTTAGTAGAGATGGGGTTTTACCATGTTGGCCAGGTGGGTCTGAAACTCCTGACCTCAGGTGATCTGCCTGCCTCAACTTCCCAGAGTGCTGAGAGTACAGGCATGAGCCACTGCGCCCGGCCTGTCATGTTTTTCAAGTGATAGCAGATTGGTCATATTTCACTGAATCTGAGACTTTCAGTGAAGAGAGACAACATTATAGTAGATATGATTAGGAAAAATCTTCCATGGTTAAACTATGCAGTGCCATCGACGGTAAGACACACTCCAAGTTCAGAGATGTTAAAATGTGAAGGAAAATATAAAAAAGATTGTCTGGTTGGGCACGGTGGCTCACTCCTGTAATCCCAGCACTTTGGGAGGCTGAGGCGGGTGGATCACGAGGTCAGGAGATCAAGACCATCCTGGCTAACACAGTGAAACCCCGTCTGTACTAAAAATACAAAAAAATTAGCCGGGCATGGTGGCAGGCGCCTGTAGTCCCAGCTACTCGAGAGGCTGAGGCAGGAGAATGGCGTGAACCTGAGAGGCAGAGCTTGCAGTGAGCCGAGATCGCGCCACTGCACTCCAGCCTGGGCGACAGAGCGAGACTCCGTCTCAAAAAAAAAAAGATTGTCTTAGAGTTGGTAAATGTCATACATGCTAGGAATTAACGTAAGTCATGTTGGAGACCTGCCAAAAGAAACAGAAGTTAGAGGATTTTCTGTTCTTCTGGGGCTGCAGTGGGGATCGGGGCTCTCCTGGTGCCCTCCTCCCTGCCTTTCAGATGCTTTGGGGTGTTTCAGTACCAGGAATGAGTCCTCCCCCGTCTCCATTCCCCTTTTTCTTTTGCACTCCTCATGTTAGTCTGGTTGTCCCAGGGTGGGGGCCTGTGCCTACTCGCCCCGTGCTCCTCCACTCACTAACCCCTGGACACTCTGCCCACCCGCCCTGTGTTTAGTTCCAGAGAACCAGACGCCAGTAGATACCAATCTCATAGAACTTGACACAAAGTAAGCTGAACCCTGCCTGCAGACATCCGGGGTCGGGGCGGGCCGTGGGTGGGCGGGGCGGAGGGGGTCATTTGCATATATGCTTATTAACCCCTGAGGAGCCGCTGGTCTAACCCCGTCTGCTGAGAGCTGCCTCTGCTCGCCTCTTCAGCAACCCGCTTGCCTGCATGTGACTTGAAGGACCCTCCGTGCCTGTTCCTCTTCCTCCTGCCTTGGTGGGGTCTGTCTTCCTCCCTCGTCCTTGCACGTCTGTCCGTCAGTCTGTTCGTCCATCCACAGCGCCTGCTCGGCTCACACAGGGCTGGTCCATGGCCCTGGGCTCGGCTCTCCTGTCCTGCCCACGCCAACCAGTGGAATCAGGCTGTGGGGTGGGCAGGGGACTGGGGATCTTGTTGCTTCTGACTCCTGAGGACCAACCGATGTGGATTTCCCTGCGGTCAAAGGCCATCGAGTCACCGGACAGTGGCCAGAGGGGGAGGACCTGGGCCGACTGCGAGAACCACTTCCAGGGCCAAGTGGTTTTCTTGCTCCAGCTCCAAAACCAATCTTCCCTTGTCCCCCAGGAGAAATCTGGGGTGTGGGAGTCTCAAGTCACCCCATGAGGATGCCCCGTGCACTGGCTGAACCCTGTTGGGCAGGGGACCTGGATGGACCCCTGCATGGTCCTAAGTGGACATGTTTCATGGTAGAAGGGGAACTCGCTGTTCTTAAAGGCAGTCCTTAGTCCTGAAACCCCACTTAAGGCTCCCCTTTCCTCACGAACAGGTCCTCTACTCCCCTATTTAGATTCACATCCTCCTACCCCAGCCTTCTCCTGTGTGGGATCCTCCATGGTAGAATCTGAGCTGACACTTCCTGGGAGAAAGGTTCTCCATGGTCTTCTCTTCCATTAAGCCAAACTACTCCTTCCTGTCCAGAAGCGGGAATGCTTCATAAGGGTAGTTTTCTGGGTGGTGGGGTGGGGTTTACCAGTCTTATTCTTGGGGGATTCAGAACATGCTGTGAAACAACTACTGGTGGCCTGGCCTCTTAAGTCCTTCCTTGGGCTACAGAGCCACACTGCTCCCCCCACCTCCTAAAGAACCGGGTTACTTTTCTAGCCCTTAGGCACAAGAGTCAAATTCATGCCCCTCTCTGCCCCTTTCATGACTGGCCTGAGTCCTGATGTGACTGTCCTTACTGCCACAGGTGGCATCCACATGTGCCTGCCAGACAGGCCTTTCTGCTTATGGTCAGCCGCCGAGGCCAGAGACCTTCAAAGAGGGTGGTTCTCTCCCCGGCCCCAGAGCCACACTCTGAGTCACCTCTGGCCGGGCCTCTGGATAAGCCTACTCTCCCTGCCCCTGCAAACACGCCACATTTTCCTTGTCTCTCCCACTAGTGATGATGACATTGTATTTGAGGACTTTGCCCGCCAGAGACTGAAAGGCATGAAGGATGACAAGGAGGAAGAGGAGGACGGTACCGGCTCTCCACAGCTCAACAACAGATAGATGGGCCGGCCCTGCCTCCACGTGGCTCCGGCTCCACTCTCGTGCGCTCGGATGCTTATTCGTCTTCTTCCCGTTCTGGTTTCTTTTCCCCTTTGTTCTTCCAGTTTCTACCAGGGGGGCCCGTGGCCTTCCAGATCACGGTGATGAACCTCTGACCTCAGGATTGGCCCCACATCACCATGCCAACAGGACCACAGCACACCGGACCCACCCCATCTCTGCCATTGCCTCTCCACTCCCCTCCTTTTCATGCTGTCTCCCAGAAAACTGCCAGGGTTCTGGCCTTGGAATTGGACTTGAGATGGGGAGCAGACAGGGGAGGATGGGGCATGCAGGACACGGTATGGTGGGCATGAGGGCTTGGAGGGGTGGGGATGAGGGCTCAAGACACGAGAGAAGATGTCCACGGTTCCAGGTGGTTAACAAAGTTCTGGCAGCTAAAAGATGACCGCATTGAAGGCCACCTCCTTCTGGCTGGGAGGGGCAGACCTGTGGACAGATTCTCAATGCCTTTTTGAAGTTCTGACCCACCAAAGACCTTCTGCCTTCACCCTCCTCTCCACCCGATGTCCCTCTGTGTCTGATAGTGACGTTGGTGAAAGTTTGTAGACCACAGGAGTAGAGAAAAGCAACTGGAGTGACTTTCTTACCAGCAGTTACCTAGACTGAGGCAAGCTGTGTGGACTCAACGAAGTATATTTCAGTACTGTCAGGATGTGACATCTTAGCTACCTTGTATTTCAAGTGCATGGGCCTGTCTAGAGATATGCAGAGAGAAAAGCAGAGGGAGGGAGGGTGGGAGGGGGTCTTCAGCAAGCACCAGCCGGCAGCAGAGTTAGCTGAAGCTCTTGATGAGGGTTCCCGAAGTGGGCCGCTGGGAGATGGAGGCAGGGGGCGGGGAGAGGAGAGTCTGCCTTATGTCCCTTCCTTGTGGACTTCACATGGTCATGCAGGAAGTGAGGAGGGGGGTCTAGCGGGGGCTGAGGCCACTAGTATCCTCCTGCTTCCCCCTGCCATTCTCCAGGGCTGGACTGAACCTGCAGACTGAGAGAGTGTGCCTGAGGCCACCATGCCACAAAGGGGGTCCTATCCCAGAAGGTGGCAGCATCCATGGAGATATCCTCACCCAAAGGGAAGGAGGCTGCTGGGTAGCAAATAAGCCCCTTCTTTTCTTGGGGAGTTGATGACCTCCAGTAGCTCCCAGTGTCATGGGTACCCAGTACGCATTGGCTGGTGTTGGCGTGATTGAGACCTAGGGCAATTCCTGGGGCAAGAAGCCAGATGGGAGATGAGGTAGAAAGTGTTAGGAGTTATCCTCTTTGCCTGGCCTTTGAGAGTAACTTAACTCTGTGACTTTGGGCAAGTTCCTTCCCCACTCTGTGCCTCAGTTTCTCACTTGGGAAAGCAAGGAGTTTGACCAGATGATCACAGTGGGCCTTCCTAGCTCTGGCCACCAAGAATTTGGGAATATTAGCACTCCTGGTCTGGTGGGTGGATCCAGAGCTGCTGCCTGGTCTCTCTGCCTCCAGAGTGGATTTATTGGACCTCAGAGGTGGCAGGGCCCTATGGAGCACCAACTCCCCTCAACTCCACCCCCTGCCCAGGACTGGGAAGGGATTGATGTCAGGCTGTGGCCATAGCTAGCCTGAGTTGCCCAAGGAGGAACAGAGCATGTCTTTGCTGAGGCTTGGCTGAGGGGCTTGTGATAGGGCTTGCAGTACCTCACTGCCCCCTGTGGATGCAGACACCCTGAGGTTTACCCAAACAAATACATTGATTAGCAGGACAAGGGCTCTCTCAGTTTCTGCTCCCTTCCATCTCTGTCCCATACTTGTCTGAAAAGGGAGACAAAAAATCTTATGCAAGTGGCATCTCAGTCCTTTCCAGTCCAGCACCTCCTGGGCAGGCAGTGCGACTTATTTCCCATGGTGAAATCACCTGTTTCACAAGCCTGGCAGTGCAACTTCTGAGGCTCATGACCACTCAACCTAAGGGACCCCTCCCCAGACCAGAACCAAGTCAGCTAGGGGCGGTCGTACTCCCCGGTCTCCCAGGCATCCAGCGCCTCCTAGAGCTTGCTGGGCAGGCTGCACCTCATCTGGGCAGGCATAGAGCTGATGAAATGCTGGAGCAGTGCATGGCAAACATACACCCCTCCCCCACCACAGTGTCTTCTGAAACATTTGGGGCTGACACAAGACCCTTTAGTGTTTGGAATGACCTCTTTCCTGCAGACCTCTTCCCCTATCCCTAACACATGCATGGAAAAGGTTTGTCAGGCTGGTTTCCCGAGCCTCCGCCTCAACATCATACTCACTCTTTTGGGTTTAGCCCAGTGTCGTTTAGCAAATTTCTCCAGCTGCAGGGAAGGATCAGAGTACCTTTTTTTTTTTTTTCCTCCTTGAGCCAGGACTGTACAAGGCAATGGCCAAATGTAGTTGAATTCAGCCTACCATCCTTTGCTGATGACTCAGCTCTATGCCAAGTACGGGAGACACAGAGATGGGTCAGCCCCAGCCCCCATCCTCAGGAAGCCTATAGTCAGGGGAATGTTGTAGGGGGAGGTAATAGAGGGCAATTACCTTCAGGGCTCCTGGTGGCTGCTAGTCCCTATCATACCTTGATGTGAGTTAGAAGACGGTGCCCTTTCCAGGTGATTCAGACCCACACTAGAATGCGTAGCTTTGTGAGTGACACACAGGTTGGATTTTGGCACCCCTTTCCCCTTGGCCAGGTGCCCTGCTGCACAGCCATGTGCTGCAGCCTCGAGGGACACACAGACCAGTGTTTCCTTCAGCTTCTTCCTGGAGAGGAAGCACCAGGTCATGTTTCCAAGCTTCTGGTCAACTCCAGGCACCACCTCCCAGCTCCCAAACATGGCCAAGTGAGTGCTTCTCTGCAGGGCCCCTTTCCCTTCTGGAGTCAGTCTGTCCAGGTGAGACCTTGAAGTGAAACTAGAGGTGGTGGAGCCTCACTAGGCCCCAGGCACCAGCCTACAGTGCTGGCGGTTTCTGTACCAAGCATTTGGGGCCTGCGCTGGCCAAGCCGTCCATCACCGGGACTTTGTAGTGCACCCTGTGGGTGGCGTGTGGACACCAGTCTTGACAGGAAGGAAGAGCATGGCTTGGTGAAAACCCACTGAGCAGACGGCCAGCTGGCCCTCCTCAGCATTCCACCCAGGGGAAGAGTTCAGTCCCCACGAAAATAAGGACTGAGTTATTTGGCTGCACCTCAGCGTCAAAGCTCAGCCCTGCTAGAGTGGGTTCACCTGGCTGTTGGTTTTGTGGGAGAGTTCCTGACAAGCTGGTTCCTACGTGGTGCAGTAAAAGGAATTCTGTCCTGGAAGTCCCCAATGCCACCTCTCAGTCCTGGCTGTCACCAGTCACCTGGGGGACTTGGGCAAGCTACTCAACCTCTGGGGCTCAGTTTCCCTAACTGTAAAATAGGATTGTAATCCCTTCCTTTCCTGACGCAGGAACTGTTATAAGGCCCAGATGAGACGAAAGTCAGCGGTCAGGGCTCTAAGTTGAAAATGGCTGCATGGGTGTGGCCCTGCCACTGCAGGGATGGCCCAAGGTCACACAGAAAGTTTGCTGCGGGAGAAGCCCTCCCCACCAGTCTGCATCACTTGCCCTGCTTCTCACTTAGGTAGATGTCAACCAGAATGAGACACAGCTAATTTGGCTTTGATGACCTAGCTGAGCAGGAAATTTAGACACGATTTAGGAGTATCATGCCCAAAAATAGTGGTCCCATCAACCAGGACACAGGGAAGACATGGATATTGTCAGTGAGTGGTGGAGGCGGACATCTTGGACCCTCATAGGTCTGGAGTCACATCTCCCATCTGTCAGAACCCCACAGAGGCCAAGGGGCCTTAGCTCTGACCCCAGGTTAAAGAGAGCCACCAGCCCCCAGGCTCAGGGAGCTGAAATCACCCATCTGCAGAAAATCTAAGGGCAAGGAGAAATAGAAATTGCCTGTTCCTTCCCTTGAAAGTGTAAGGCCTCTTGCAGGATCAGCTGGAGCCACCACAGCTTCTCAGTGACATTGGGAGGGTTTCAGGCCCAGGGAAAACCTAAGCCTTTTGCCCTGAGAGCTGAGCCACAGCGGATGCATCCCCCAGTGGCGTCAGCAGTCCAGAGCGGCAGCTTCTCTCCTGCCAGTCACTGGGGACTGGTTGTTCTCCATCCATCCAGGAGGAAGGGTTTAGGTCCCAGTCTTACACTCTTACAGGGTCTCATGGACATAGGCCTATGCCTGTTGTGATACGTATATTTTTTAAACTCAAAAGGACCAAAACAGACTCCTGAACCCTCATCTATACGGCCTTACGGCCTGCATTGGGCCTGGTGTGTCTTCCTGGCCCAGGCAGCTCCATCACTTCTGCCATCCCTTCTGGACTAAAGTTGCAGGATCCCCGCCTCTACCACTTCCCCAGAGGGTCACTGCACAGCGGCTTCAAAGAGAGGCCCTGTTGAAGGGGAAACATCCTCCCCCCATCATACTCCCAACTCGTCACCCCAAAAGGGAAGTTAAAGCACAGGCCTGTGGGGCCCATGGTTTGTAGACACTGATACAGTGGTTTTCAAACCAGGTGCTGCGGAACCCCTGGTATTCCATAGAGGTTTGTCAGGGGATGCTAAGGTGGGAAGATGGGAGTGGAGGTAAAGGATAGGTTTCCAGCCCTCCTCCCATTTCCACCTCCACCAGAACAACTCTACTTTTATTTGTCTTGCCTACTGAGATTTCATTTTCAAGCTTTCTTTGAAGAAAAACTTCAAACCACCATCTCCAGGTTTGATCTTAGACCAGCCAGCACAGGTTCTATTCTCGCTGCTCATGTTGGAATGGCTCCAGCATTCCAGTACAAAGTGTCTTTGTGTTGGAACCTGACACACACACACACACACACACACACACACACACACGTACATAGTTGATGTTTTTTCTAGCCAACCCACCCTGAAGCTCTGGCCAAGATTTGATTTGAACAGGGACCTGGTGCTCAGTGGGGATGGGTCTTGACTCTGATATTGGCCCATGAGGCATGGGGAGCTCTGCAGCAAGGAAACAGGCTCAATCCCCCACCTAGGACTTGTGTCTGCACCCCTGTCTGGCACCCCACTTTCCTGGCCCAGGCCCAAGGGACAGCAGGAGAAGCAGTGTGATGGAGGGAGAGCCTAGGGTTAAATTCATCTTTACACAGAGCCAGATGGATGGACATCTTGGCTCACGTAAAAGACAGACTCAGGGAGGATTTTGTGACAAAAGTCCCTCCTTTGAGGGCAGGATTCCCCCAGGAATCCTGTACACTTTAGTGAGACCTGGATCAGCCCTTGGTACAAAGTCCTGCCTGCCCTGCCCCCCACCCCCACCCCGCAAGGAATTCTAGGTGAAAATGTGAAGCTCAGGGCACAGCAAGCACATGACATGGGTGTATTACATTAGGTCCGAGTGTGTCCTTAGTTTCCCTGTGTGTAAAATGAGGCTAGTGCCAGTCTCTTCCCACCTCACTGGGACAATTGCAAGGGTCATAGGAGAGTTGGGTATGATAGGTGGTCATATGAGGTGGTGGGTATAAGAAGTGGGTGCCTCACATACTCGGGGTGTGGTCCTGACCTGCATGGCAGATGAGGAGAGCACTTGGGAATGAGCATAGGAAGTGCTGTCTTCCCGGGCATCTCTGCTCCGTGTTAAGGTCTAGCCACAGACGCTGTGGGACCTGCCTCTTCCTATGGAATGGGGGCCTGCATGGATTGTGTCCTGGGGCAGGAGTGAGGGATGGCTGGGAAGAATCTGCAGCTCTGTGGCCCTTGTGTCGAGTGATTATTTTGTGACACTCTCATTCCTGGACCACCTGCCAGGTTTATCTGTTATACCTGTGGCATTCTTATGTCAGACAAATTATTATAGTTTATTCAACTCTAACAAATGAACAAAAGAATAATAAATAGGAAGCCATTAAAGGTCTTTTGTGGCAGAGGATGCTGGCTGCGCTTTCGTTTTTGTCTCATAAGCCCATGGCAGGTCAAAGACCAAGAAATGCTGCCCTGCTGTCCTGGACTGGCAGATGGCTCTCATGACTGGGTGAGAAGCTCTCTTCCCTTGTCTGTGGCCCCAGCTCCAGCTTGGTCCTTGTACCAACTTGTGGAGACTGCCAAGAACTTTTCTCTGTCCCTCTTCTGTCACTTTTCAGCCTTATGGCCTTGGGAAGCTGGCAAACCTCTCATCCCTCTCAGATACCACAGGATTTCATGACCCATGGTTTGCTCTGGGGGTGAAGCCATCCTATCTTCTATCTTTGGCACCACACTGACCACATCAGCGGGAGTCCTCGCCCCAGCCACAGCCCTGGTTCTTGTTCACTTATCTCCTGCTCTGCTGGGTCTTCCTGAAGTCACTTCAGTTTTCTAAGACTTACCTGCTACCTGATCTAACAGAACATATGGGAGGAGTAAGGATATCAGTGAGGAAGGGTTGATGTTCCAATAGATAATGTACTGTATTAACACGAAAGGAAGACGCCCATGCATATAAGATGACTTTCCTAGAAAATATATGAAATATATTTATATGTTTCATACACACACACACACACACACACACACGCACATATATTTCCGCCTCCTGGGTTTAAGAGATTCTCATGTCTCAGCCTCCCTAGTAGCTGGGATTACAAGTGTGTGCCAACACGTCCATCTAATTTTTGTATTTTTTGTAGAGACAGGATTTTGCCATGTTGGCCAGGCTGGTCTTGAACTCCTGGTGAACAACATATTTTTTAACATTCCTGTAAAATACTGTGCAATGTAGATCAGAACATTGCCCCCCTAGTTGGCCAGAAGGGAGTCTGTTTCCTCTGATGTTCCCTTCCTGTCAAGAGTAGGGCAGTGGGAAGACATTGACACTTGAATCAGGAGACTTGAGCTACAGCTTTTGTTCAGCTGCCCTCCCATATGGACTGTGTCAGTCTGAGTCCAGATAAGCAGTCTATCCCTGTAGCAAGAATTTAATTGGGCCAGATGCAGTCACTCATGCCTGTAATCCCAGCACTTTGGGAGGCTAAGGCAGGAGAATCTCTTGAGGCCAGGAGTTCAAAACCAGCTAGGACAACATAGGGAGACCCCCATCTCTCAAAAAAAAAAAAAAAAAAAGAAAGAAAAAAAAAGAAAAGCCAAGAGTAGTAGTGCATGCCTGTAGTCCCAACTACTTGGGAGGCCAAGGCAGGAGGATCCCTTGAACCCAGAAGTTCAAGGCTGCAGTGAACTATGATCATACCACTGCACTCCAGCCTGGGTGGCAGAGTGAGAAATTGTCACTTTAAAAAAAAAAAAAAAAAAAAAAAAGCTAGGTGCAGTGACTCACTCTTTGGGAGGCTTGCTTGAGCCCAGGACCAGCCTGGACAACATAGTGAGACTTCATCTCAATTTTTTTTTTTTTTTTTTTTTGAGACGGAGTCTTGCTCTGTCGCCCAGGCTGGAGTGCAGTGGCCGGATCTCAGCTCACTGCAAGCTCCGCCTCCCGGGTTCACGCCATTCTCCTGCCTCAGCCTCCCTAGTAGCTGGGACTACAGGCGCCCACCACCTCGCCCGGCTAGTTTGTTTTGTATTTTTTAGTAGAGACGGGGTTTCACCATGTTAGCCAGGATGGTCTCGATCTCCTGACCTTGTGATCCACCCGTCTCGGCCTCCCAAAGTGCTGGGATTACAGGCTTGAGCCACCGCGCCCGGCCCAAATTTTTTAAAATTAAAAAAAAAAAAAAAAGAAAGCAATTTAATTGGGGAAATGTTTATTAAATGTTGGATGAGATGAAAGTGCAAATGGGGTTTGAGACCACCCAAAGATGTGGCACAACAGGAGACCGTTACTACCCCTAGTGTGGAGGGACAAGGAGAGGAGCTGAGGAACCAGAGCAGCCTAGCAGGAACATGGAGGAAGAGGGTATCTACGAAAGCCAGAAGCACAGAGGAAACACTGCCCTTGCTGGGAATGCTGCCCAAAGCAGAGACTGTAGACATGCTCTGGCTTCTTCTCTTCTCCTGCCCTCCAAATTCAAGCCAGTGCCTCCCACTGGCAGAATCTAATTAAAAGCTTATTTTCAAGAAATTTGAAAATGTAGTTTGCGATGGTCAGGGCCTGACAATACAGAGCAAGAGAAGGTCAAGGAATTTGATCTGAGATCAAACAGGCAAATGGCAAGCTCTTCCTGAGTGTTCTCATCCAAAAAGTAGAAGTAGTAATGTCGGCTTGGTTACCACAATTTAGAAGGAATGCCTTGACCTCTGAACAGGATTCCAAACAAGAGAGAGATATTTGCTGTTTTCTTAATGCCACTATCACTGTCTTCACTGTGCTTTGGAGATTCATTTCTCCTAGCTTTTTTAAACTCCAGCAAATCAAAAGAAACTGAGCAGGAGGTTCAAATTCTGGCCAACATAGAGTAAATCCATTATAGCCTACCTCTCCTACTGAATACACCTGAAAACACTGGACAAAAATACAAAACACAATTAAATAACAACTCTGTGAAAGTTAGACAAAAGAAGGCAAATGATACAGGTGATTTAAAATTTAGAGAAGTCATCTCCATAGGACGATTTTCCCATTTTTTCTCTTTTCTGGTGGTTTTTCACTAAGATTAGAACCACCACCCACAGAAAGTGAGACAGAGCTTAGAATCTGAACTTAAGTTGGTTCATTGCCTCCTGGAACAGCAATAACAACACAATCAACGTTCTATAGAGGATTATAGCAGGACCCAGAGTCTATACAATATAACATTCACAATGTCCAGGACACAATCTGAAATTACTCAACATACGAATATGGTAGTCTCCCCTTATCTACGGGGGATAAGCTCCAAGATCCCTACTGGACACCTGAAACTGCAGATAGTACCAAACCTTTTACATATTATGTTTTGTTCTATACATACATACCTATTATAAAGCTTAATTTATACATTAGTTACAATAAGAGATTAACAACAATAGCTAGTAATAAAACAGAACAATTATAACAAATGCCAGCATCACTACTTTGCACTTTGGGGCCAATGTTAAGTAAAATAAGAGTTACTTGAACACAAACACTGTGATATTGCAACAGTTGATCTAATAACCAAGATGGTTACTAAGTGACTAATGGGTAGATAGCATACACAACTGAGATACACCAGACAAAGTGATGATTTACATCCCAGGCAGGAGAGAATGGGTTACTATGATATTTAATCACACTATTCAGAATGGTGTGCAATTTACAACTTATGAATTATTTCTGGAATTTTCCATTTAATATTTTCAACTGTTATTGAGTGCAAATAACTGAAACCAGAGAAAGCAAAACTAAAGATGGGGTGGTGGGGCGACAACCCATAAAAATGTGACCAATCCTCAAGGAAAGATACAATCAACAGATGCCAACTCTAAGATGACTTAGATGTTGGAATTATAAAAGATTTTAAAGTGGCTGTTATAACTTGAAATGGATTGCAATAGTTGTTCTTAGCAGAGATATAGAAACTATTAAAAAAGAACCAAATGGAAATTTTAGAACTGAAAAATACAATATCTGAAATTAAAAATTGATTGGATAAGCTCATAGCAGAATGGGGGTGACAGAAGGAAGAGCCAGTGAACTTGAATATAGATCAATAGAAATTATTCTATCTGAAAAAACAGAGAAAATAGGTTGAAAACAATTAACAGTCTCAGGGACCTATGGAACAGTATCATAAGGCCTAAGATTCCATGTCACTGGACTCCCAGAAGAGAAGAGAGACTGGTGGAGAAAAAATAGTTGAGAAAATAATGACCACTAACACCCCAAATTTGGTAAAAGACATAAATTTATAGATTCGTGAAACTGTGCACATCTCAAATAGGTTAAACTCAAAGAAAATCACACATAAACCTATATAACCAAACTGCTGAAAACCAAAGACAAATTTAAAACTCTTGAAAGCAGCTAGAGAAAAGGACACATTCTTGTGTTTTCTTCCATACAAAGAACGACTATCTGAACGCAGATTTCTCAACAGAAGACATGGAGGCCAGAAGAAAGTAGTACAACATCTTTACAGCACTAAAATAATTGTCAACCCAGAAATCTATATCCAGTGAAAACATCCTTCAAGAAGGATGCAAAATAGATGATCAGATGAAGGAAAACCAAGAGAATCTGTCACCAGCAGACTTACTGAAAAAAAAAAAAAAAAAAGCTAAACAAAGTTATTTAGTTTAAAACAATGGCAGAGATAACCCCAGATCTTTAGAAATTAAGAGCAACAGAAATGGTAATTATCTGAATAAATTTAAAAGGCTATATTTACCGTTTATCCCCTAATCTTCTTAAGTTCTTTAAAGTATTTACTATTGGTGCTTTTTGTTTGTTTGTTTGTTTTGTTTTTTGACAGGGTCTTGCTCGGTCACCCAGGCTGGACAGGCTGGAGTGTAGTGGTGTGATCATAGCTCACTTCCACCTCGAACTCCTGGGTTCAAGTGATCCTTCCACCTCAGCCTCTTGTGTAACTGGAACTACTGGCATGCACCACCACACTCCACCAATTTTCTTTATTTTTGTTGTAGAGATGGGGCTTTGCTATGTTGCCCAGCTGGTCTCGAACTCCTGAGCTCAAGCGATTCTCTTGTCTCAGCCTCCCAAAGTGCTGCAAATACAGGCATGAGCTACTGTGCCTGGCTTATTACTGTTGAAAAAAAAATTTTATAACATTGTTTGATAGGTTTACCAATGTTGATAGATGAAATACATATAATAACTATAATGGAAAGGTCAGTGGAGGGAGATAAACCTATTTGTTTTTTGTTTTTGTTTTTCTTGAGATGAAGTCTAGCTCTTGTTCCCCAGGTTGGAGTGCAATGGCGCGATCTCGGCTCACTGCAACCTCTGCCTCCCGGGTTCAAGCGATTCTCCTGCCTCAGCCTCCTGAGTAGCTCGGATTACAGGTGCCTGCCACCATGCCC